TACAGTACGTACTGTACATATGTACAAATGTACATACGTATACATATATCCGGACCCAAATTTCAGTTAAAAAAATTTATTAATAATATTTTTTTTGAAAATTAATTGATAGTGTACGTAGCATTTATTTACAGGGTGACCAAAAATGTATTAAAAATTTTATATTGTAAGACAAACTAAAAAAAGGAACAACTTCTCCGGTACAGTTAAAGATATTTGTCAATATATTCGACGTATTAATTCATACATAGATAATCTTTGATGCTGCCACAAACCCCGTGAAATATACTAGGCGGGAAACAATAATAATGATAAGCTTACGAATGGTAATTGTACATAAGTTTTTATTAAGAGTTATCAAATTGGTTAAAAAAAAGAAAAAACAAATAAAAATAAAATAAAAAAAATAAATAAAAAAATATTGTACACCAATTAAACTTTCTTGATGCTAAGTTAAAGGAGTGTTTATAAGTCATATCAAAAGAGAAATAATTGAAAGTTAAAGCCATAAGTTTAAAAATGCTATATATAAATTAAGGAAATAGAAAGCATAACAAAGAATATATAAAGAATATGAAAAATGCATAAGAATAAATATTTGTAATAATAAATTTCGTGCTTAATATAAGGGAACCTAATTGATAGTGTGCATAAAAAAAAAAAGTTGGTCATTTAATTGATAAGTCGCATATAAATTTTTTTTTGTTTCTTGATTAATCGATAAAGTGCATATAAAAAAATAAATTTCATTGAAATAATTTAATTAAATGATGGTGAAAACTAAACCTCACGTACAGACAATTTTAAAGAATAAGTTCTTGTGCTCGCATGTGGTGAACACGAAATCGGGTTAAAGAGGACCGCCGAATGACCTACACATTTTCTTATCATAATTGTCTGTAGAAGGAACGGACAAGACATGAAGTGGAGGTAAAGAAGTTACATCATCATCAGCGTGATTTTTCTTTAATGAGTTTATACCATAATTCCAAGATAAATGGTCTAATGTTGGACTTGTTGAAGATTGAGAAGTAGTAGAAGGAGACGGTGGGACCTTACTATAGCTGGTAAAATT